GAGGAAATCTTATGGCGTTTCTTTTTAATTATTAGATATAAACAACGTAAATAATTATTTGAATATACAAATTATACACAATTATACACAAATTATATAAAAAATAAAAAGAAAATAGTTATATATTACTCCATATAAATAAATATATTTATATACAAATAAAATAACAAATATATATTTAAATATAAATAATAACACAATATTTATTATATTAATTGTATTAAATTAAATACAAAATATTCGTCTACATTGTAAACAATTCTATCTGAAAATTTTTATTTTATTGAAAATTTAGAGCATAATGAATTATATATAAAACAATTATCTTTCAGAATAAAATTAAATATTAAATGTTTCAGCATTTTTCATCTAGGGATATGTAATAAAATTAACACTCAAAGTTTCAGTACATTTTCATTCTTTTCAATATAATTTTATAATAGTACAATATGGAATAAATTTTAAATGTATAGTTTCTAATATTATATTATTCTATTATAAAAAATATTAAATTATATAATTATATATTATATATTATTTATTCATACTTATACATAATAAGAAAATATAAATTAAAAAATATTTTTTTAGTTATATTTTTTATTTATGTTTAACAATATTATTTTTTATAGATTTTATTTTCTATTTATTTTCATTTTCAATATTATATGATGTATTAAATATATTTTTTTATGATGTATTAAAGCCAGTTGATTGGCTTCTTTCAACAATTTTTTTTTAATTAATTTTTTTGTAAACTTTTTTGATTTTCATAATGATTTATAATCAATTTTCTTAATTTAATAAAATTTTTAATCTCTTTACTTTTTCTATCTATTTAATCAATAATCTAAATGCTATATATTGTTTAACACAAAAAAATAATTGCCAATTTTATATATAATTCATATATAATGAATGGGAATTTTATGTATAATAAACAGAAATTTCGTTTTTTAGGAAAAAAAATTCCCTAAGATATACATTATTTATATATTGGCTATACAAGTTTGAAAGTATAGTTATAATAAATTATAACATTCTTTTTTTAATATTTTTAAGTATTTTATTTCTTATTTTTAATATTTTTAAATAATAAAAAAATTCGTAAATAAATATAATATAATATAATAATGAATTTTGTTATATAAAATAAATATAAATAAAAAATATTTCTAAGAAAAATATTTTTTTTCATTTATATTATATTTCTATATAGTATATGAATACGAATAATTAAATAAATATTATATTAAATAAAAAAATTATATATAATATAGATAAAATTGTATCCAAAATTAAAAAAATGCTGAACTTTGAAAATTATTTTCACTTTTTCAACTAAATTTCTCATCAACGAAAAAATTATTTTATGTACAATTACGTTCTACATATAAACTTTCGATAAAATCAAAATTTTCAGATAAAATAAATTCCTTTATGATATAAAGAAAGCCTTTTGCATCTGACTCTAGTAAGTGATATATCTAATAAGTGATATAATTAAGTTCAAATCATTGCAAAATGTGAAATTTCAATGCAATTTTTTTTTAAATATTTGTATTAAAAATAATAGACATCAAATATTTAATATAACATATGATCACAATGGAAAACAATAATGACACATCAGATAGCGAAGAAATTCTTGTATATGTAGAATTTGAAGTACTTGATGATAATATATTTAATGAGAAACAATTACAATTGGACATGATTGGTATAGATACAGAACATCCTATAATGCAAATTAATGGAAAGGTAATAATAATAATAATAAATAAATTAATATTTTATTGATTTTATATAATATTTTTTTGTTTAATAATTTTAGTTTTATGAGGGTACTTATGAAGATGTCGTTGGTACTTATATGTTTTTCACAAAAACTAATGATACTGCAATAAATGATCCTGTATTTGATATTGCTCCAAATTTTAAATATTTTGCTAAAACTAAAAAATTTTTAAAAATGCAAAGAATCTTCATAAAATCTAGAACAGAAGTTCTTGGTGATTCTGAAAATAATCAATGTATTCCAAATTCATATACACTTAAACAAGCAGGAATACCACTTCAATATCGAACAGAAGGTATTAAAAGTTTAATTTATTCAATAATTGAATATATTGTGATTCCAATTATAAGGTATATAAATTATTTTATAGCTCTTTTATTTTGGAAAACTATACGAAGTAATAGATTAAATGCATTACATTCATATTTAGAAAAACAACGTATCAGACAACAAAAAAAATCTCAAGGCATAATATTAGAATCTGAATCTGATGAAGATAATCCATTTGCTATATATGAGCATAAAGAAGAAACTTTTAATTTAGACAAATCGAAATATATTCATGTTGTTTCACAAAAAGAATTAACTAATTCTGATAATTAATTTAATAAAAATTAATATTTTAAAAAAGATATCTGATATATACATACACATAAAAGAACACAATAAATTTTTGTTTTGAAAGATTTTTACTTTGAATGACTGTTTTTTAATCAAAAATATATATTAAATATATTCCGAAAAAAAACTTAATATAATTTGGGATACATAAAACAAAATATAATATTTTATTTCTTAATAGTTAGTATTTGTTTTTTAAAGATTTTTACATAATATAAAATATTTTCATAAAAAAATATAAGATTAAAATTTTACATATCATAGAATAATAAATAATATACATGATTAATAATCATTTTTAATTTTTATGATTAAATAAATTGATTAATGATCGAATGATATGAATTGATAATATTTATTTAATTTTTAATATATATTATTTGATTTCATTTTTTTAATTTAATAAAAAAATTAACATAATTTTTTATCAAATTATATTAAATTCATATGATATAATATGATATATATGATATAAAAGTATTTATTTTCTATAATAAAATGAGAACTTTTCTTTATTTGATATTTAAAAA